GTAGTGTACAGCATCGATTTCTGTGGAACCCAGTAGCTGTCAAAACTTTCACATTTTTACGAATAACTCGGAAATCGTAAATTTTTCAGGTAAAACGTTTGACACAAACTTAACTTAAATTTTGACGACAAATCTGAAAATGAATGAAAAAAGGGGCGGTTCCATTTAAAAAACCAAAGTTGGTAACTACCACACGTTTATGATACACCCCGTATATTGGAAAGTAATTTTAAAATGTGGACCTTTTAAACATGAAAAACTTTCGTAGGACGTATTTTCTTGTAAAGTTCATATTTACTGAGATATCGCACTTTGACGCACTAATGAGCAACCCTATATATGAGAAGGATTACTTGAGCCAACAGGCGGCGTTTAATCAAGATAACCAAGAACAACAGGAAGAAGAACCGGAATCTCATAAAGAGCTTAAACAAATGATGAAGGGTCTGTTTGCAAAACTAGATTCTCTTTCCAACTTCCATTTTACAGCCACAGCTGCCATACCCGAACTGAAAGTCATCAAGAAATTGCCGGCAGTTAGCATGGAAGAAGTGGCTCCAGTTGCAATTAGTGATGCTAATTTATTGGCACCTGAGGAAATAAAAAACAAACCTAAAGGTGATATTATTGGTCAAAATGAAAGGACGAAAACTGACAAAAAGGGGAAACGAAGGAAGAAAAAGGTGAAACAAAAGATTCACAGCCAACGAAAATCGAAAATTGAAGAAAAAAAAGCATCGAAAAAAAAGTTTCTTAAAGTCTAAATCCTACTTGTTGATAAAAAATTTATTTTTTACTTTTGGAAGTAAAGGAACGTGAAGTTACTTTGTTCCTCAATTAATAGCTTTTCTCTGTACTCAATTTATAATTGATAAACTCATTGTGCCAACAGGAGAAAGAAATGTTTTATGTTATTTATTTATGTTTATTCCACCATCAATTTTCTATTTATACCTCAGCATTTAGAGCTCACGGTTTTCTATACATTATTTTAGGGTGCATAAGATGTTCAACCTTTTCAAGTTTATTGCAGCTACAAAAAAACACGTCTAGGCTATCTGTCGAAAATCCACAATTAAGAATTTTGTATTTAACTTTTACAATATTTTTAAAAGTTTGAGGCAAATTTGTACTTTGTTAGCCAATATTGAGATAAGCATTCTGAACTTTTATATTAATTATTTTTTTGTATAAACAGGTTTTGATTTTGCATAAGTAAGTTATTACTGAAATGAATAGAAAATTACACTTTCGGTATAATTTGAGCCGACAAAAGTTTCTAATGTAACCACGTACAGGTCTCGAAATGCGCTAATCTCAGGCATCTCCAGGGCGGGTTTCGACCCTATCAATTGGGTTTAGGAAACCCGACTCCTAAAACTAGTTTTTTTTTACTTACCATTTTCTATGGTTGCCTGAAATTAACACATCTTGAAATCTGTACACATTTCTATGGATTATAGAAATTTTTATAATTTAATATACAGGGTGGTTTTTTAGTGCGATAGAGTCCATTATTTCCGATGGTGTTGAACTTTCGAAAAATAGTTTCATATAAAAGTTGATGGCGCACAAAGTGCGCACATTCAAAAATATCTTATCTGATACAGAGTGTCTCAGAAAAGCGAGGCAAGATCAAAGTACATTTTTTTAAATAGAACTACCCATTTTTTATTAGCTCGTGGAATGCAGCTTGAAACGCTGCATATGCGCCGTAAATTGTTTTTTTTTTACTTGCGACGTTGGCAGATTATCTCCATTTTAGTAAAATTTTGCTTAATAACATGGTATTTAAAAATTCATTGTAAAAGCAAAAAAAAGCAGTTAGTGATTCAAAAAAATACGTCTCTCTAATCACCACAGATCCGTTAAGAATTCTATTTCGACCAATTTGGCGATAAATCAGCACACCTGGTCACCCTGTCTCTTAATGGGTCGCCCCATAGATAAAGACGAGACGAGATAAAGACGCCCACAATAGCAAGGACACATACTCTGAATATACGATAGTAGAGACGCACACCTGCAAGAAGATCAAAAATAACTTCATGGTAGGAATGTTAGATGGCGACGGTGAACGTCGTTTCCACAATGTGCAAGGTAGTGGGCTATCTATACTTGTCTTTATCTATGTTAGACATGGCCGATGGTTGTATACAGCTTGAATGGAATTTAAAGTGAAAAATGGTTTGTTTTAAGTTGTTGGCAGTTTTCCTGGGACTTTGACGATAGCCGGATAAAATGACCGGTTGGAGTGGCGTTGAGGAGACTCACAGCTTCGGAATAGGTAAGAAACAGAGCCGATATTGCCAATTTATTTATAAACTCATCCCAGCACATCCCTCCTGGATGGATTAATTATACTCAATTATCGTTTAAATATGAAAAGACGACATCCGTTCGGCTGCGGTTTTTACTTATCAACTATACCCTCTTTTGCCTACAAACGGAATCGACTGGGTGAACGTCAATTTAGTTGATTCACACATAAAATAATGTCGCAAGTAACGTGAATGTCCTAGAATTCAAGACTGTACGTGCGTTTATTTTTAATTGATTCGATCATCATGAGGTCACACGGCTAACTCTTGCTCACTTAAATTAGCTCGAATCCCTGCAATTGACCCTAATCAAGCCGGATGAACCCTACATTAATGCTGCGCTTGCAATGAGGGGCCTTCCCTCATGTATAACACTTTCCTATCGATTATGATCACACTTTGTTGATTTAACATAATTAACTACAAGATACAGGAATTATCTTGCGTTCAAGTCAGCCTGAGCTTCAAAGGTCGATGCCTTAAAAGATGATTATCTGCCTGTGATTCTTAGCTAGGAAATGTAAGCAACATTAATCGCAAATAATTGTCACATTTATTCCCAATTTGCTTTTGCCCTTAGTTGACAACCACCTTGAACTTTCCACCGTTTGCTGTTTATTTAAGGCCTTTTTTAATTGGGGTACAGAAAAAGCATGTTGTGTTTAGCTATTTACAACTACAACGAACCAGAGGCTTTCAAATTGAAGCTAACCGTTGGAGATGCGGTGCGAATATTAGAGGAAGAAAATGATTGGTACTACGGCTACGTGATCAGCAAGCGTCATGTACTCGGATTATTTCCCAAAAGCTACGTGCATCGCAAACCCTGCGAAAAATTCGACTGTGGTCTTCCCGTCTTCAAAGACCCGGCAATCTGCCATGAAATCACGTCGGTTCTTCGGGAATGGGGCGGCCACTGGAAAAACTTGTATGTTGTAAGTGTTTCATCAACAGTTTGCCTGCGGCAAAGAGCTTGGGGTTGAGTTTTGCTTCGACTTGTAGACGCACGATGATCGCTTCGAGGATATCAAGAACCAGATCTATGAACTGATTGGATTGCGAAGCAAAATCGTCAGTGGCACTTTGCCCATCGATGAAATCAAGCGAGTCACCAAGCAGGCTGCTGAAGAAATCGACTTGGGCAATCGCAGGCTCAATCTGGATCTGGTAGTCCGGGATAAAAGTGGTCATCTGATTAATCCAGATGTTACGAGCACCATCCAGTTGTTTAACTGCCACAAAGCTGCCACTGAGCGGATGAATAACAGAACCAAGGTAAAACATTGATAGTACAGTAATGTATGGATAATCTAAACTACTCTATGTATAATCCGAACCGTACATTTACACATAGTACACTGCGGGTGGTATGCATATATTCAGTTTAAATCATGCATCTTCCAAAAGAAAGCTCACTATCCCCTGATTGAGTGATTGAAAAGAGTTTTTCAGCTATAATGATAATATTCCAGTAATGTTTCTACTAGCCAAAGTTTCATATCGGAAAAAGTTACTGCGGCAGGTTCTTTCACACAAAGTTGGAAACATTGCGCAATGTTTGAAGGATAGCCGCTCACAATTATTTCTACCAGTCATGAATGATGATTTGATGAAGAAGCTTCGATACTTAAGTTTCAAAGAATTCTGAGTACTTACCAGAGAGTTACTGAACAGAGTGAGTCATGCTGATGATCCGATAGAGGAAAAATAACTTAAAAACTGAGAAGAGGTGATGATGATGCAAATTTGGATATAGATATCTTAGAAGAGATTAGATAATTGCTAATATTACAGGAGAAAATCAGAATTCCAATGACCAAGCTAAACCTGTTCAGGAAAATGCCCAATTAAGAGTCGGAAAAACTGAATTGACCCCCCACGTAGCGATTATTCTAAGAAATCTACAGACAAAAAACAAACCGTACCTTGAAATTGCAATTTGTATAATTCGACCGGATTTTGCAAAATTTTTGTTCTGATTGTTATTCCGTACATTACTGTATTACTGTACAGGGTGGTCAAATTAGACATTTTTGAAGGGAAACTCTTATTTCTATAGCAGATGCACGAAAACTGATGTCGGTGTTTGAGCCTCGAATTTTATGACGAAAACCTTATGCCAACAAATTTACTCGTTTACGAGATATTATATAGGGCATATATAGGGTATTTTCCACAAATCTGCAGTTTGTGAGACGCTCTAACTCTATCCATTTCCAAAGCACTTTTTCATGTTGTATACACTAATGTAAGTTTCATTTGAGGTAAGCAAATACTTTCCGAGTTATTAGCAAAAAAGGCATATTTTTAAATGAGACTCTTTATATATATTTGCACTTGAAATTACCTTTCCAAAAATTTAGCACATTCTCTATTTTTCTCAGCTCAACTATTCCGTGAAATATAAAGGTTTAATTATTATTTTTTTCAAGTAGACTTCAAGTGCCCGCTTTGATCGAGTCATCTAAACTTGAATAAGGTTTAAACTCCTATATTTCATAGAAAACGTAAGAAAAACATAGAATGTGCTATATTTTTGTAAAGATAATGTCAAGCGCAAGTTTAATATGACAAAATACAGCGTTAAAAATCTTTTTTGTTAATAACTAGGAAAATATTTACTTACCGCAATGAAACTTACATTATTGAATACTACGTGAAAAAGTGATTTGGAAATGTTTCCGGCGCAAATTTAAGAAGTCACAGAAAAAGAGTTAGAGAGTCTTTCCAAAAGTGTAGTTTTCTGGAATATACCCTGTAAATCTGTAATTGTTAGAGATACATTGACATACTGTTTTCGTCATTAATTTGGTCATGAAAATCGATACTCATACACCGACATTAGTTTTTGTTTACCTGATATAGAAATAGAAGTTCCCATTTAATAGAATCCAATTTGGCCCACCCTGTTCAAGTTACCCTAATCCCATCTTCGAGTTCATCCAATCCAAATCCACTAAGTTTCCACTAATTCTATTTCATGAATAACGGGTAAAAGATTCATGGCATTGCAGACTGACGAAAAAAATGAGCAGCCGAAATCGGCCATCCAACAATACTCCAACATTTTCCTGGTGGCTGTGAAGAATTTCACCGGGAAGATAAGTGAAGATGCTCAGCTACTGATGTGCCTTTACGACGCCAAAGAGTTTAAGCCAATCACTGAGAGCTATGTGGTGCACTGGACGAAAGAGGGCCTGATGAGTGATATTGATGAGATGTACAACCTTAGAGTGATGTTTACAGTGCGTGACAACTTTTCATTTAAATATAAATGTTGATATTAAACGCCACTGCATTTGATCGCAGGATTTGGGCAAAAAGGACTTGGCAAGAGAGAAAATCTACCTAGTATGTTACGTGGTGCGCATCGGCTTGATGGACGTGAAAGAAGTGGATCATCGTCGGAGTTCTCTGAGCGTAACCAATAGAAAAACTTCCTATGAAAGCATGCGAAGGCCCTGCGGAGTGGCCGCCATGGATGTAACCAGTTGCATGCACTCAAAGGTGGACACCGATCTCGAAAAGGAATTTGCAGTTCCTTTTGTAAGGTAAAGTCGACACACAGCATTTTTTCGATATTTGCAAAGTAGATCTGACTTGCAGCTGTGAGAAGGACAATCTGGACCAAACCCTAAGGAAGATAATCACCAAAGAGCGGATTGAGCACAAGAATCCCGCTCTGTTTGTCAGCATGAAGCTACTCAGAGGAGATCTAAAGCAGGTGAAATATAATTATTGTGTGAATGATACAGTGGATAAATGAGACATTTTTACGACCGGCAATAATTAATGAATTTATGGAGAATTACTGTCAAGTTTGCGGGTTTATCTCAGCGTTTCAGAAATAATTGCCGATGTAAATATCGATCGTACAATAAAAGCAATATCAAATATCGCCAGTTCAGTGGAAATAATCGATGAGTTTTCCAGTCTTTTATATGTTTATAATTTTATAATATGTCCCAGGCAGAAATAAAAGGAAGGAAAGCAAATTCTCTTAAGTTTCACTAAGCTTTAAGGAAAAACGTTCATAGGCGAATCAGCTTGCAGACATTAAAATAGCAATATAATGGTCTAAACATCAAATTGCGTTGAGTCTTGAAACTTAGTTCATTCTATGATTTGTGTAGGTCAGAGAAGAGAACCCGCATTTGGTGCTCGGCAATGTGTCGCGGGCCCGAAAGATGGGATTTCCCGAAGTGATTCTCCCGGGTGATGTGAGAAACGATCTCTATTTGACCATTGTGAATGGCGAATTTTCGAAAGGCAATAAAACCAGCGAGAAAAACGTCGAAGTGGTGGTGAAAGTTTGCAATGAAAAAGGCCAAACTATTCCTGTAAGTACATAAAATCTTGAAAATAAATAAACGTGTAATGAATTGCATTAAACTGCCGTGTGATTCGGCATGACTAAGAAGACAAATTGTCGAGCGGTTTGAATAACATTTTCTTATCGTACGTTTGGATTGTTCTTTTATCGCTCTCAACAACTCTTTTGTCGTAAGGACCAGTGCGTTTTCTTTGGATTACAGGGGCATTTTAGGCTCACTTGTGTTTTTCAATTTGCGAAGAAAAAGGCAATAAACCAAGCGGGAGATCTGTGATACACTAGAACCAGTGTTTACTATTTCAGGGTGTACTGCCCTAAAATATTACTTTGTAATCTCTTGCGTGTCAATTTTTTCCTTTGTCACCCACCAACCTGTGCAAAATGCAGCAGATTCCGAGTGAGCTTCTCCGGAATTCCTCCACTGGCAATTTGAGCTAACGGGGGAAGATCTACGCCACATCGTTTGGCGTTTACTAAGTGTTGATTCTTTCAGGGCGTTATAAGCTTGGGCGGTGGAGTTAAGCGTCAAATAGAAGAGACCAGCGAGTATCGTTCAGTGATTTACTACCATGAGGACAAACCCCAGTGGCATGAAACCTTCAAAATCGCCCTGCGAATCGAAGAGTTCAAATCGAGCCATTTGAAGTTCACCTTCAAGCATCGCTCTTCCAACGAGGCGAAAGACAAAAGCGAGAAGCCGTTTGCTATGAGTTACGTGAAGCTTATGCAAGAAAATGGAGTTACTCTCTCCGATGCTGTGCACAACCTAATCGTCTACAAGATTGACTCTAAGAAGTACGACGAGAGCAGCTTGGATTATTTTAAGTTGCCGTGTTTCGTCAGTGAAAGATTAGACAACTCGAAACCGCAAGTACCAGGGTTAGTCGCTAGCACCAAGGACTGCTTCAATATCTCTTCTAATATCTGCTCCACCAAACTGACTCAGAACGGTAAGGTTTAGCTGGATTAAGCAAATTGGAGCTCTAGAGCATGCTGCTTTCAGTTAATCTCTTGGGCCTGTTGAACTGGGCCACTCACAAACACACTATATCAGAATCGCTGCAGAACTTCATGCATGTGGTGGGCGAGGAAATCGTCAAGTTTCTGCAAGATATTTTGGACGCTCTGTTTAACATCCTGATGGACGAGCCGGACAACGATAAATACGACATCATGGTATTCGAGTGCTTGTTGCATATTATAAGCCTGGTGACCAACGACTGGAAGTATCTTCACTTTGAGCCAGTCCTCGATATGTACATTAAAGAGAGCTTTAGTGCCACTTTGGCCTACAAGTAAGTTTTTGTCCTGCTGCCAGATTTAAGGCTCTTGAGCATCAATTTTACTTCAGAAAACTGATCTCCATCCTTAAGTCAGTGATCGGCAAGGCCAGCTACAGTACAATTGCCACCAACGATAATTTAATATTCAAAACAATGAAAGCGTTGCAGTACATCATGAGGTTTGTGTCCCGGTCGCGCATTCTCTTCTTGGAGGTCTATCCAGAAATTAACCCAGAAGATGAGTTCGATGAGAGCGTGCGGGAACTGTTGCGCGATATCATCTACATGATGTCCTCCGATAACGATAAAGTTTTGCGTGAACAAGGCGCTTGCTTGAAGTATTTTCCCAATACCATTCCGGATTTTTTGCTGATTTTTGACAAGTGCGAATTAAGGTAAAAGTTCGTTAATGGTTGTTTGATTACCTCAATGCGGAACGATGGTTTTCCAGCATCATTCTCTGCGATCTACTGATGAGCATTCCCCCAGGGAGGTTGACGAAACAGAAGATGATGACTATCAACGATATCGTTCACAGCAAACTCTGCCTGTACCCGGACTGCAGGCAGATAATGTTCCCATTGATTACCAACCAAGTGAAAGCTTTGCTCGAGGCCAAGGACGAGGTGAGTACCAGCGAATCAGTGTTTGGCTTTCAGCTTCGAATTTAATGTTTCATTTCAAACATTGTCATTTACTCGGCAATTCATTTATTCGATTTCACTGCAATATAGCGTGATTTTGAGGATGTATGACCGATTTTGCTCAAATACTTGTTTTGTCCGTTATTTGTCTTTCGAAAAGGCAGGGCGATATTTACGCGTATAGAGAACGGCATCTATTGAATAAAAAATCATAATAGTTTTGTGAGGTAAATTTGAAGCGATATTTCAAGTTGGTTTGCAAGTCTGCCACTTTCCAGCTTATTAATTTCTGAAATAGCAAAGTCGGACATACGTCCAAGTGACTATTCATTTATATGCCACCGTTACAGCCCTATTAGGTATCCCATGAGGAATGTCCTTGTAAAAAAACCCTTTGTAAAAAAACAATAATTTTGCATTTTTGTAAATAAACGTGTGTGCCTTCATGTATAGAAAGTATTAGTGTCTAATCGTGTATTTTGGCAAGTTCAGAACAGGCTACCGAGTCAGCCAACGAAAAGGCGGCAGAAAAGCCGTTGGTCTGCCGCCCTGCTCGTTGCACGGCCGAAGTCTTGTTTCATCCGCTAAAATCACCCTGAAAACTATAACCTAGCACTTTTACAGTTCGTTCTCGTCTTCATCATCTAACTGTTACTGTACAAATGTAAGTAAAGCATTCGTTGTCGTTTAGAAGTTGCAAAAACAATCAGAATACAATTACTGAAACGAATTTTCTCTTGAGCGTGCAACCAATGCAGGTATTCTAATTGTTTTTTCCGTTCTGTTTTCACCACCCATCGTCACCAGTACACCCACATGTAATTACGTGCATGCCTTTTTCTTTTTCAAGGATGTCGAAAACAGAAATGAACCTTCTTGCACTGAGACACCTTGGCCACCGTTCCAAGTACACCTCTAGGTATCTCTTCCCTATTATGTTTTCTTATTTACGAATGTTTCTTCCTCTTAGCTCGTTGTTTAGTTTGCACCTAATAGTTATTATCCTGTTTGTTGCACGGGTTTTGGGTTGCGTGGTAGAGTTTGATTTGGTTTGCAATTTAACAAACAAGGCACGAATTGCGAGTATTAAGTTGCAGGAGGGCCAGTAGACGGATATACGAAAACGCGAAGCGTTGTCTTTTTTACTGATTTTGCAGTTTATGAAATCCCCAAAGTGGTCCTCTTTTTTCGGCCGGGTCTTCGGATAACTGTATCTGGACAAAGTTAAGGACTAGCGGTTAGGAAAAGTGCTTCGAAATCAAGAAATTTGAGCGACGAGCTCTAAATTTACCAGCGCAAGTTGGATGCTTGAATTATACTGCATCGTTTTGCTTTGTAACAACTTTTCGCATTTTTTCATAATAAGACCCGGAGGTAATTTTTTAATTTTAGTGTCCTTTTTAAATCTTTAGCCGATTGTAATACTAGATGTGCGTGTGAAGTGGATGGGCAAAATCCTATGACGGATTGAAAGAGCTGAAAATATGATTAATCGGTCCAATCCTGCATCTTTGTGTTTTGAAAACAACTTTTCGCATTTGTCATCATAAGAGAAGGAGAGGGGACTGCATTTTTTATATTTCACTGTCCTTTGAACCATTTAACCGATCGAAATACAGGATGTGCGTGTGAAGTGGTTGGACAAAATCCTACGACGGATTTAAGGAGGTGATTATTTGATTAATTTGTCTAATACAACAGTGAACGGTTGCAAAATATAAAGAATCGAAGTTAAAACTTCGAGAACGAAAACATGTATTATTTATTTGGTGCCAGTATCTATTTCTTAAGCGGCCCACTTTGAGATCAGTAAAATTTCACATTTTCTATTTTAGATGCTCAAATAGCATTTTAAGCTCATTTGACATGGATTTTTGTTACACTGTTTAGCTTTAAGCAAATAAAGTTGAAAGCGCAAAAAGGCTGTTTTGCAGTCGCCTGAAACTTCCAGTCCGTTCAATCATTTCAGATATACTAAGACGTAAATGTTGGAAATTGCAGTAGCCTCTCCCGTTATTACAAACGTTCAACTAAAATCCTCAAACCATCTATACTCTAAACTCGAATTTATCCTTATTCAGGTCGTGGCGCCGCAATTTATAAAAAAAAAACCTAATTTTGAATATCCGGTTTCCACATCAATATATACGACAGACAAAAACAGGGCTTCGAAATTAGCATACTTAATTAATTAGCACTAATTATTGGAATAGGTACTTCTAACTATCTAATACAACGCTTACCCTTCAAACTATTAACTGTTGATCTGGTTCCGGAGTCTGAGCATGGAATGATCCTTCTGATCCTCGCCCGCTTAAACCTAAACTCTAACCGGGCGGCAATTCGCCTATGGGTAGCTTAATTGTTTTTTTATGTATTTATTATTTTTTAATACTAGTATACTGTTATTTTATTTTAATCATTAACACTCGGAGCATCTCTGAACGCCAGACACGGCTTTGGATCAGTAGTTGTACGTAGTGGGGGTTGTAGGGTGTTGTGATGCGGCAAGATGGGCGCAGACAAAACAGATCAGTGGCCAAGGTGGCTCAGCTGCTCGGCACGACCCGGCATTGCGTCAATCAGCACGTCGGATACTCAGAAGAGGTGAACATTCCACTCACAAGTACACTAAACCATTATTTATTCTTTGGCTTTTTATCGTTAATTGATCATTTGCTTTTCCTTGCGTTGTTTGACAATGTTCATTGCGTTCTCTGGTCTTTTGTTTTGTTCTCTTGGTCCACATAGAGGAGAGGACTCAATCACATTGTCAAACACCTCCAAATTGCTACAAGCTTGTTATAACATTGTAAATATTCTCAGTCTCGTAGTTAAGGCTGCAGTTTAGCAACGTGTTTCTCTAGGTGGAATTGTGCATCAAAATCCTGAGCGATATACTAGAGCTGCTTTTCCGGAAGAATATTGGACCCACGTTCAACGACATCACTGAAGTGATCCAGACGGATTTGCGCACCATCATCCAGAGCCACATCAAGATGGAAAGAGAAAATCCCCACTGTGTAAATGTTGTTTTGTTCACATCAGAATTGTAGTTATTGAAAGCGTTTTTCAGAGCCATTTAGCCACGGTAATGTTGGACGTGTTCCGGCAAATGACCACTGAACACTACGAGAACTACATCGAAAGATTCACCACCGACTACGATAAACTGGACTTCCTCATGGAAATTCTGGTGGTTTTCAAGGATCTGGTGAGCAGCAGTTTGGTCTACCCGAAAGACTGGTGCGACATGATCATGCTACAGAATAGCATAATTCTGAAATCCTTAAGGTAAACTGCCAGTTTATGCATCTTCTGTGCAAAATCAACCAGTTTTTTTGTTTGTTTCAGGTTTTTTTCTCACACGATTCGCGACAGGTTCTTCAAGAAGTTCGAGCATGATGCGTGGAACAACTTCTTCTACTGCGCCATTGCGTTTATGACGCAGGAGGCGCTCCAATTGGAGAACTTTTCCTTCAACAAGCGGATGCGCATTGTCAATCAATACAAGGACATGCGTAGGGAAATGGGCTTTGAAATTAGGTCCATGTGGTTCAATTTGGGCCAGTACAAGGTATGTACACACTTTCTGTTTTGAAATAATCATCAAATCCAAATTCTTTTGCCATAAAGGTTGACTGTTTGATATTTATTTTAAAATTATACGTTCAAATGTTTTTTTTAATAAGTGAAACCAAGACATTCGGTTAGGAAAGGGATTTAAAAAATTGCATAGTGTTGTACCTTATCTCTACGTGCTCGGCACGTATATCAGGACTACTAATAATACTTACTTATTTATGAGAGTTCTTAAGCCTCGTTTATTTTTTCGTTTGAAAATTGAAACACTCTGGACATGCTGATAGTTTTCTTCACTGTCGTGTTCATAAGTTGCACCCTTTTCGGTTTACCGACTTTTCTGATTCTTTCACGGCATTATAGACCAATATAATCTCTAATCTGTATATTTGTCTATGCTACCTTCAGTCAAGGTTCACAAATAAATAGTTACATTTGATTAATTTCGCAAATATTTAATTTGCCAGACTTAAAATGCACTAGTAATCATAACTGGCAAATAAGACACAGGATACTTACGTTGGTTTGAAACCATCACTTTAACACATTCGCAAGTGAATATAATCATAAGGCTAAAGCTTTCAGTTCCAAGTGTAAACTAGCACTACTACAAGTTTTTCTGAGCGCGTAAAACATACTTATCAAACGTAATACAAGAGAGAATTCAGCGCCACATCCACAAATTATTCGATTAATCGTCACTTCTTTCATTCCGCATAGTCTAACGCTGCAATATGCCGATATTGTCTCTACCAGATTTTCCAACATACATGGATATTTGGATATGAATGTTTAGGTCCAGTTTGTGCCATCGCTAGTGGGACTAATTCTCGAAATGACCCTGATCCCCGAAGTGGAGCTACGCACTCACACGATCCCCATCTTCTTCGACATGATGCAATGCGAGTTCTACTCGTCAAAGTTGGAGCTGGAGAGTTTCGGGGACACAAAGCGCGACTCCTCCCACATCAAAGCCAACTTTGGCGAGTTTGAAAACGAAATGATCGTGAAATTGGACGCCCTGTTCGAGGGCGGCCGGGGCGACTGCGAGTACAAAGAGTTGTTCTACAATATTATGAAGGAATTGTGCGAGAAACATACCACGATGCGGGACGAGGGAATCAAGTTTGTGGAAGTCGTGGCCAGGCTGATGGAGAGTTTGTTGGAGTATCGGTACATCATCTCAAACGACAACAAGGAGAGCACCATGAGTTGTACCGTCAATCTGTTGGTTTGTTCCCCAGTGAAGCCGCTTATAACGCGGATCCTTATATCGGTTTTTCTCGCTTTCAGGACTTCTACTCGGAGATTAACAAGAAGGAGATGTACATTCGGTACTTGAACAAGCTGTTTGATTTGCACATTGACTGTGACAACTACACAGAGGCTGCATTCACTTTGGAACTGCACACGAAGCTTTTGCAGTGGTCCGACGAATCTCTATCGCCGCTGCTGAAAGGCGACAAGTATATGAACAACGCGAAAAGCCATCGAAAATTAAAGGAAGTGCTTTACTATACAATCATCGATAACTACAGTAAAGGAAAGGTGAGTGGCCGAGGTTAGCGAGAAGAAAACCTGCTGATTCATGTGGTTTCAGATGTGGGAATACGCCATTGACAAGTGCAAGGAACTCGCACAGCAGTACGAGAAGGAAACTTTCGACTACGAGCGCTTGAGCGAGTTACACCAGAGGCTGGCCGAGTTCTACGACAGCATCATGAGGCACACTCGACTAGAACCCGAATATTTCCGTGTGGGATATTACGGAAAAGGATTTCCGCGCTTTTTGCAGAACAAAGTGTTTGTTTACAGAGGCAAAGAGTACGAGCGCTTGGCGGATTTTAACGCCCGCATCATGAACGAGTTTCCCAAAGCGGAGCTTTTGAACAAACTCACACCACCAGGCGATGAAATACGAAATTCGGATGGACAATGTATCCTTTTCTATGCTTATCTCTTTGCTTCTTTTCTAGCACAGTTGATTGTCTCCTTAACACTTCGGCGCAGTCATTCAAATCAACAAAGTGGACCCAGTTATGGAGGAAAAGCGACAACGGTTCTCCGGAAAGCCGGTTTGCGATCAAATTGTGCGATTTTACAAGGTGAATAATATCAAAAAGTTCACATTTTCGCGCCCGATCAAAAGGAAAGACCCCTACATCGCTACTGATAATGAGTTTGCGCACATGTGGCTGGAACAGACCGAGCTGGTAACCACTTACCCTCTACCGGGAATTTTGCGATGGTTCCCGGTGGAGAAAACCACCCTGAAGGAGATCTCGCCGTTGCATAACGCTATCGAAACGTTGGACAAGTCCAATAAGATGCTGATGAACTTTATCACTGTTTACAACAAGGACAAGAACATGCAAATCAATCCTTTGAGTCTCACGCTCAATGGTGAGTGCCTAAGTGCTTGTAATTTAGCTGCTACATTTAGCATCTGTGTAGGAATTCTGGACGCTGCAGTTATGGGCGGCATCAAAAATTATGAAGAAGTATTCTTCACCGCCGAATATCTGAAACACCACGCTGAAGATGATGTGTTGGTGAATCGACTGAAAGATTTGATTGCCGATCAAATTCCGCTGTTGGATTTGTGCGTACAGATTCACAAGCAGAAAGCGCCCGACAATTTGCAACCTTTGCAGAAGAGGATGGAAGACTGTTTCGCTTTTATGAAAGCCGAGGTGGAGAAAAAGTACGGCAGAAGAGTAAGTAGGTTTGGTGTGGCCGCTGCCAGATCTCTAAGTTGCTCTGTTTAGGACTGTGATATTAAATTGGAAACAGAAGTACAAATGCGAAGACACTACAGTATTACCAGCGACACCAGGCTCTCCGATGTAACCATCACTCCCGAGTAAGTAGCCTTTCAGCTGAATCAAACGCAAAAGTTACGTGTTTTTGGGCGTTTTAGACTACGCCGCTCCAACTCACGTTTAGTAACTCAGAGGACGCCTTTCTTAGTAGAGTAGTGTCCATTTAGCGTCGTTAATTTGCGTAGTTAACTAAGTTTTTCACATGGTAAATAACATTTGCATTTTTGCATGAATTGTTGTGATTCAGCATTCGGCCGGAGCTTGGGCATTTGTATTCGATTCCGCAGAATATACAAGTGCAGTGTTGGAAAAAATGCGAAAGTTATGCTCGCTTCCATTCCATGTGTTTTAAATATGAATGTTGGGCTTGTTCAGTTCAACATGCATGTACATGTATGGCTAGTTGGAAAAACTGCGTTATATTCTTCTATTTTCTTGAAAAAACGGGAACTCTGTATTGTAGCCAGAAATGCTTGTTTGCTCATCTTTTGGAAACACAACTGTTTTTCAATACTGTACCGGGTGTCCGTTATTTAGTGCACCACCAAACTTAACCATGCGTATTTTGGATGATTTATTACTTATTACACCCCAGTTTCGCAATTCAACACTCGATTATCGGACACTCTGTTTAGTGGATGATTCGAAAAATGCGTTTGTTGAACCTGCTTGATCTATTGAAACATTGAAGGAAAAAAATAGGAAATAACATGAAATTTGTGTGTGTTTAGTCGAGTGTCGCAGCAGAGCAACACGAGAAGCCTGCTCGGCTCACCCTCTAAAAGCCTCTCGGCGACGCCGTCTCTCAGTTATAAAAAGTCCACGAAAATGTCGAAGAGAAGACGTAGCAAGACGGAAACTGTTAGCATGTCATCGCCCAGCTCGGGAGCCGCTCAGTGGTACACAATGGAGGAGAGTTTTTCTACATCGGCAGCATCGACTCCTACCGGAAATGGACCTGCAACTCCACCCATTGAGCTTACACAAGAGGTAAGAAAGGGTTTGGATTGGTGGCTTCAAGCCTGCACTTACAATGCGTCAATGTTTGCGAATTGTATTTAAATCCCGATTTCTTGCATTGAAGATTAATCTTCTTTAGTTCCCTCTCGACTTTTAAATCTTTAGACGAACATTTGCAGTTAATTCTGCTGCTCCGTGAAAGTAAGCATTTTGTAAGATCGTTTTTCTTCCATTGTGAAAACAGAACATTGAGTTGTTTTGGTAGCTGATACGCATTAAGTTAATTACTCAAGTTGGTAGTAGCATGTAATGATTTTTGGAGGTTTATCGCTTGCAGCTGCATCCTAAGAGGCCCTTGAGATCGGAAGTGGAGAAGGAAAAGCGCCTGAGCAGACCATCGAGCGGACAGTTTTCCAGACCGGCCAGTATTTCTTTGCAGGTTCGGGGGACCAGCAGTTCGGGGACGAGCAGTAATAGAGATTCTATTGGTGAGTCTGAAGACCCGTTGGGAGGAATATTGGAAAAGTGTGTAATTGGTTAATGACTTTAGGTACTACTGACTCTAATATTAGTGAAGAGGATCTTTTGCCGCCACCACTGCCGGCCAAGCACAAAGACAGCATGCCTGACTTTAGCAGTCTGACCATCAACGAGAATTTGAGCTTCTTGCATGCGCGCAACTCAGTTACGAGGTATTCCTGCCAAGTGCGGGAAACCAGCCTGCACAGGGGAGAAGTTGAGCAGGCTGACATACCGCCTAGTCCGCCCCCGAAGCCGCCCAAAACTAAACCACACGGCGTCGCCCTGTCCTGACCAGTACAAACGTAGCCAAAGCATTTTAATCTAACTAGCTCCGCTTGCATGGATTTTTCACACCAAATAGTGCAATTCTTAGAAAGATCCGTTTACTTTTTTAGGTGCATTTTTCCACCATGGTTCTTGTCATCATTAAGCTTGCATTTATTTATTTTCTCTCGTGGGTCCATCTCATTTGCTAGGTTTTTCACTATACTAATGAAAAATTGATTGTTTTATTGAATTTTCTGATTCAGCAACACCCTATATTAGTTGTACATTTCGTTACCACAAGTGCCATTTCGTCGAGTGTTCATCGACAGTGTGTAGTATTTGTGTAAATTACATGTAACCAAAGAAGTAGCTTGTATCTTTATATACTGTTGATGACATTACATTTTTATATTTTCCCAGTTTGTTTGTTTTCAACCCATTTTTTCCACAGTGTCAAGTGAAAGAAAGAGTAAGTGGAGTAATAAATGCAGTGCATCGTGTGTTGCTATTTTTTCTCCCGGTTTTGGCGCAGTTTGATGGACTTAACCAAGGGAAAGACGCTCTGGTAAGTGAAGCCTTCTCTACGATACCATTAGATGTGAAAGCACTGATGCGCCTATGGGTATGAAATAGTTTTAAGATTCATTTGTAGGTACACAACCACTATGTGGAGGTCGTTTGTTTAATAATTGGCGCAGTCGGCAGCAGAGATGCCAAGTCTACCGATTTGTCAAGAAACCTACCGATCTACCGATACCATGCAGATTTCTACCGAAAAGTAACAAATAAAATTTAAAAAATGATCCGTGGGTTACTTAAAATAATATAACATATTTCCATTCATGATCAAAGTACGTTGGTAATAGCAAACATTTTATTTTAGCACACATCGTATTTTAGAGTTCTTTTTCAAACATAAAATGAATCAAGCCCGCCATATAGACCATAAATATGACAAAATTATGTTTTATAGTGCCTGCGATAGTGAAATCAGGTTTCCTACAATCTATTTCTGATGTTGCAATGATATTTCCAAATTTAATAAATGATGGTGAATTACAAGGTCGGACACAGAATCACGTCTGTTCCGAAATGTTGAAAAATGAGTTTTGGAGCCAAGTACAAATATTGAAATATGGAGGTGATACATTTATGTTTCCAATTTTAACCAATTTTATTTGTAACCTGCTTATGCTACCTCACTCATCAGCCAATGTTGAACGGATATTTTCACAGGTTGATCTAATGAAAACTAAGTTGAGAAATAAGCTAAAAACGGGCACAATTTCATCTTTACTTCTTTACTGACTCATGCTTATTTTAGTATTCCTGTAAGTTTAAAAATTCAAGTTTTGAAAAACGCGCGATTTTTTGGAGCCTTTTTTTGGTGAGGTTTTGGACTACCCAACCAGCTCTGGCCCTTGGATTAATTAATTAATAATGAAAGAAAAATGAGTCTACCGATTTTCTACCGAAAAGTGTCGAGCTTATCTACCGAAACTCGATTTTCGCACCTGGCAACCGTGGTCGACAGTATTGCTAATGTGCTGGAAGGGTTTTTTGAGTTTTTAAGCTGTTGAATTGAATAATTTACTTTTTGCTCCGCTGTATATACGATTAAAAAAAATTAACAGCGTCGGAATTGAAGTGCAGGCGATGTTACTAGGATTAAAAGTAAATCGACCAAGAGCAAGTGTAAAATAATTTAATCACAAACGTTTACTTACACATCCACTTACACTGAAAGAAAAATACATTCAAAGTATTACATCCCGTTGTTGGGTCGACTTTGTTGTCGCATTGTATATTTAGAAGCAGAGAAGAAAACAACTTTTCAAGTGTTAGAATAGTTGAGCCAGATTCGTTAACTTAATTAGTTGTCGTCAAATAGCAGCAATTTTAGCAGGTTGGTCAACAAGACACATACAGAGCAAGCAAAATCCTGCGTCTTTGCTTTTGGTAGTTTTGCTGGCGAAACCTACCAAAAATTTCTTGTGTCTCTTGTTACCGCATCGCCTTAACTGTGCCAATTTTAAAAATTGTTTTCCATCAATCTTTCTACTTATTATTAGCTAAAAATTTGTGATTAAACTCGACGATTGGCACATGTAACAAGTTACTCATAAATCTACTAATGATAAAATCAACATATACAGGTCTTGACGCGAACGCAATATTTACAGGCGCCTTGGTTCAGCCTCCATGTAACTCGTCGCAAAGGAAAGCCTCTTGAAAACAAAGAAAGACAAACTAAGCTACAGTGGAATGCGGACCTACAATCTAAACCACCAGCGGCTGGAGAAGCCAAAGATCTTTATTTCCTTCTCTGCCTGTACAGCTCCCGTTTTTTCGTATCGGCCTTCCTCAATACTTCTGCATAGGACAGATCCAGTTTTTTCAGCTTGTTCAAGTCTTGGGAGGCCAAGCTGGGCTTGAACTCCAAATATCCTTTGGTGCTGCCCTGGCTGGGTGTGGGCGAGGGAGCATTTCTGTCCGACGCCCAGAACTGCAAGGTGCTGCCGTTCCAAACGCTGTCTTCTTCCGGGGCCGATGAACGAACGTCGCGACGCTTCTTGCCGGAATTTGGGCGACTGGAGTAGGTGATTTTGGGGCTGCCGATGATGTGGGTGATGGGCGAATCGGACCGTTCAGAAAACTTGTTCTTGCGTCGCGAGGAGGAGCGTTTGCGAACCTCCACCGAGACATACTCGAGAGGTTGGCGCACCAGCGGTCTGAGCACGCACTCGGCCTTCGTCGGCTCCTCGGCTTCAGGAATGGGCTGGTTCTGCGCCTGGATGATGTTTTCCACGATAGTGGTGCCCTCGTTCTGCGTCGACAGTTCCGACATGGTCGAGGAGAGGACACTCTGTGTATCGTCATCCAGGAACTCGGCAGCCATTGGCTGCAAAGGCGCAGGCGTTGCCGGGAGGAGCGGTAGCTCCTCCCCTCCAGCCTTCTTCTCGGCGGCGATTTTCAACACTTTGAATATCTCCACAAACAAGTCCCGATACTCTGGCAGGTCGCGGAATCGGGAGTCGAAGGGAGTGGCCTCATCATATATACTGACGCAATCCTCACCGTCCACGATCTTGCAGAGGAAGGACGCGATGTTGCTCTCGGTCTGGGTGCCCTTGTTGCTCGTCTCCTCGGCATATCCCGAAGAACTAGTTTCTGCTTCCGAAAAGTCCGTCGGCGTCGAGAAGGTCTTTCTGGTCTGCTTGCCGGTGCGCAAACTTCCACCGTGCCCACTCTCCTCGTCGGTATCTTTAGTGCTGGTCCCATAGACGAAGTCACCGGAAGTCAATTGCATTTCATCCTGCAAGGACGGGCACTGATCAGACTTTGCCGTTTTGCCAGGGTTTCCTCGGTGGACCTCCACCAGTGCCTCGTATTTCTTCACGAGCACTTCATACGGATTGTCGTGCCCGCGAGTTGGTAAGGGCGAAGACTGGCTGTTTGCATGGTCCTAAAAATCAAGGAAAATTCGTTAATCCATATGGCAAGTGTCTCTAACTACGGCGGCAACAGTGAACTGTTGGGGATGCGTTTACCTACACCAAGCCATCCAAAATAAAACACCGATATGTACTAGTGGCATTGTTTATTTGTATAAAAATATACATCTATGTCTAGTCTAGTATAGCTCAAAGCGGGGGCCCTGATATTTACAAACCAAAGGAAAATGTTACACTGCAGGGAACGTGGTTTTAAAGCAAATTGCGCCAAAATTCATACTCAAAAGGCACCAGTTGCAAAGATTTACCTTTGCTAGCGTATATCGAGGGCTTACTGCAAAAATGCACCTGAAGTTCTCTCCTTGTAATTTATGTTTGTTCGGTATTTCATGCAAATAAACCGAAAGGAATTGGCACTTTTTACAACTAATTGCCAAATATGTTGCTTTGGAAGCTGTGTCCTTGCCTTGTTTTTTTCTCGGACGACAATACATTTTTTAGCAACTCTTTTAGTTGATTTTTTTCAAACGAAACTAGTCCAGTTATGGCTAATAATCTTTCTTTTTCAATTTGTTCCTTACAAGTAGATGACTCCGTCATGGAAGGAACATTGGAAACAATTAATGAACTGAGACCTCAAAAGCATCACACACAGGAAAACCTGGAAAGAAGAGCAAATATCGACTAAATGGCCAGAAAGCATTGTTCTAGCCACAGATGAAACACTCCAATTCACACTGCATAGACAAACGTATCGAGCATCTGATTAAACAGAATAAATAAGCTTCCAGTAATTTTTTAAAAACACATCAAGTCTTTACTTTAAGACGATTAGTCCATAATCTGTTTATTAGATTCCCAACAAGATGAAGACAACTTTGAGAGAGATAAAAATGTCAGAATTTTCTATCCCGGAAAAAAGTATCTAACTCGTGAAAACATGAATGATTTGAAGTCTCAAAACCTTTTAAAATTGAAAGTGATCTAAAGCAGGAACATGAGGATCCTGAACTTCTTCTCTTTAAAGCAAACTGGGAACAGCAGGGAAAATATAGTTTTAAATAACTAGATTTCTTGACAGTGATCTTTTCTTGAAGATATTTCAATATCATATATTTTCTTTGAAATCCACACAAAACAGCAAACATTTCTTGCTTATGAAAAATCTCAGTAATTCTGGTAGTTTTGGTTGTCCCATTGAAAATGTGTAAAAATAAGAAATGCTGTTCAAAGAGAACCAAACCATCCCATGTGTATGGAGAAAACGTATTAAAGGCCGAACGAGACCTCTGTTTAATTTCCAATTAAATCAATTTGATGGTCAAGATACACCGTATTCTGTAAAAACAGTAGAAGCTGCTCCAGACGCAATAATTGAAGACTTGCAGCAACTCATGAGATCGCTCATATATAAAACTTATCGATGACATTGTTAGCAAGCCCACGTTTTTAAGAAAAGGTAAGTCTCCGTTTGGGCGGCGTTTTTTACGTTCTCCGAAAGTCACACAAAGCTCAATGCTAATCTAAGTATCATCAGCATACATTCAATGATTCCCTTAGGCAGAAACAGTCAGAATTCATTCATTTGATAGCTCGCCAAAGGCTTTTCTAGACTAGAACAATTACAGGGTGTTTCTTCATGATGTCCAAATATTTTAGGGTCTTGCTTAGAAGGTGATTTTCAACGAGCCTTTCGAAGAACTTTTTCTGATCTGGGTTTTCCTTGTGGAAATAATCGATCCTGCAAATTACCACGAAAATGAGATCTTTTTTGGAAAAAGCTTAAACTTTTTGCATCTTGGTACACGTTAACACCTACTTGAATATTTTTTGCCTATTTTTTATCTTTTGTCCATATTCTATATTGCGATAAAATTAACATTCCGTGCTTTCAACACATTTTCATTTTTTCATGCCCTTGATAGAATTCCAGGAAAATTGATTTAAATGATTTAATAAAATTTTGCATTTCCCATAAATTTTGTGAAGCGTCGCATTTCCGCATGGCGTTCCGCAATATAAATTATCGGTCTCCAGAAAATAGATAAAAGTTCTATGAACACTTCTGGGGAAAAGCGCAAAATTAGTGAATCTTTTTAATTTTTTAATTCTTAATTTAATTATTTAAAATTAGGTACTTTTTTATATTATAATTACTATTTCTGACCTAGGGAGAGAAAAATGACTTCTCTGACTTCTCAGGTTAGTATTAAAAAATATTATTATTTGCATAAGTTTAATAGGCATATGCATAAGTTATCATTTTTTACTTCACATGCTTTAAACTACTCATCTTCATGAAACACGCTACATGTTTAGCTAGACATTAATATAGATAATCACTATAAGAAAAACTGCCTCCAGTTCAACCAATTTCTGTTACCTACTTGGTTATTTTGTGTGTGTACAATGGGGAATTGCGAAATATCAGATTGACCGGGAAGTAATATCGTATTTGCTCAATAGAGGATTTTATTGCATTTTTTACGATTGCTGTGAATATTTCCGATTGATTATCGTTGTTTCCGAATCAGATATGAGTCGCACTTTTGGCAAAGTGGTTTTTACTACAGAAAAGCTAAAACTGCTGCTAAAGCAAAAAAAATGTCTCATGTGTATGGAAAAGAACTACACAACTGGTTTTGTAACATTTAAGATCACGATATTTTTACGTTGAAAATGCCCTTTGTAATTTAAAGTTAGTTGAATGTTCTCAAGATACATTAATTGAGACAACTTCTGAGATATCTGATCGATAGCAAGCTGTGCGAACATTTTATTAGGCATTTTTTGGTATCCATGATGACACATTTCGTATGGCTGATACTCCAATTCCATTAAAAACAGTCCCTTCAAAATTGCAAAAACATTATAAACATGACCTTAAATCCATAATATAAAGAGACACAATTTCGTCGACTTTCACGCCCATAAAAAACAGCGTATTTAGTTCGGGACAACTTAATACTTTGACTCGGTTGGAGGATTTGAGATGAAATTTGTTACCCACACATTGCGTCATAGTCTTTTCTTCGGGGAGGCTGTTGGAAGAACAACTAAAGCCACTTTGACGCCTTAAAACCCGTTGAGAAAAGATCCAAAGAGGTCTAAAGATGTAGTTGACTTCGGTCGTTTGCAGTAAGCCTTCGAAATGAGCAAACGTTTTAAGAACAGCAAAAAAACGTACCTCAGCTCGTTTCAGTATAACTTATGCCTGAGAACGTAATACAGGAGAAGAAACGGGCCGCGAACGACCCGGCAGATCGGCAGAAAATGCTCGTTTTTCACATGCAGGCATAAGTCAACCAACAGCGCAAAAAGCTGCATCCAGACCCTTCGGAGTAGATTCTCCTCCGGGTTGGGCCCCTGCAGAAACAAACACAACAACAAATACAAACGGCTTTCGAGGCCCTACAATAAATCGGTTCTCCCTGAACCGATCAGCGTCCGCAGCCTTGCCTCGTTAGCCTAAAAGCATGCACAACTCCATGCCGCTACAAGAAGCATTCGGACAAACTTAGAAACCCCAGGTGCCGGACAAGCATGTGGCTCACCTTTACGTTCATGGAGAAGGAGGCGCGATGCTGAGTGGCGTTCAATGCGTCCAGCATGCTCTGATCGTCGTCTTCGGCGAGGTCCAGCTCAGAGGACTGATCCACTGTGCGCAGACATTTGCTGCACACCTGCCCTTGTCTGAAACAACCAAAAACGGACTTGGGTAAGATCAGAAACCCAATGAATTTGACTCCATTACAGAAGTGTTTATTCGGTTACTCATTACTCAAGAGGACCCGAATATACCATGTAGATGCGATAAGAGTAACTGTTCGTTACTTGAGGACTTATTATATAATAATATCGGAGTAAGGATCAGGGATTAGTAAAGACAGTTAACACCTCTAGACTCCATGTCTCACCTGACTTCGTCCAGGGAGTTCAGCTCTTCGTGCATGCTTTTCATGTTCAGATCGTCGCCTCTGTGGCTGAGCTGAACCACTTGGTGCTCTAGAGCCTGGTTCTGGTGCTCGAGCGTCGTCAGCTGCTCTTGCAGTTCCCCAATTATTCGTTCATCTTTGCTGCATTGCGCCCGAGTCTCCCTAAGAACACCTCCAATTTACTTATCTCATCTTTTTGATATAATGTGGCAAAATGTGAAACTATGTTCGAATGGTTAGCAAAATTGGCCGTCTCGGTTTCCAGACTTAACAGGCTCAGACTTTTTATTTCGACTTCGTTAAAGATTTCGTATAAATATATATATTTAGTATAAACTAAAGGTAGCAAGAGGAGTGTTTTATAACACTCCTCTTACCACTCGCGATAACACAAAGAAAAATTAAACGTACATTTCGAAGAAAGCACCACATACTCTTGTCCAGTTGTGAGATTAATTTTAATATCTGATTATGTAAAAACTTATAGGGAGCCCAATTAAAATAACCCAGATTTCAGTCAGAGACGAGACCCGAGACTGGAATTTTCACAACCAAAAAAAAACTATTCTAGATTTTCCCAGCAACAGAACTGAGTCCAAAGAAAGTCGACGAGTTTTCATGTAAATTCGATCTCTCAATTTTTTTTGCATAAAAAATTCAGTTTGCCAGTATTTTACAGTAAAACGTTAGGAGAATCGCGGTTTTTCTGTTTAGAGGCAGTGTTGCTTAGAAATATTGACCTACAAGTGAAGAAACCCCAGATTCCAAAAGTTTTTCAAATAAATGATTAGAAACTTTTTCAAATCGCGGAAATATTTTTGGAAAAAGACCCAGAAATAATTATTAAGGTTTGACCATAATTCAAAGCTGCAAAAAGTTCCAAAAATTTTTGTAAATCGGTTAAGGAGGCGAGTGTCTATAACATTTACCTTATAATTTTTCACAGTAAATACCTGAAGATTGTCAGTATTTTAAGTGAAACTAAAAAATAATTCGATTTTTCCGTAGAAAGAATTGCTTAATAGAAACTGTTAAAACGGGAATGACCTGAAAATTTAAAGAAACTTAAAAAAAAACAAAAACAAAAAAAAAACTTTAGTAAATAGATTTTCGTTTTTGACCCGAATTCGACGCTGAAAAAAATCCACATTTTTTCAACAAACTCTACAGTGTTTATACGTATGAAAGTAACGAGATTTCCAAGTAATCTGTTATAAACTTTCGCTTATTCTGCTTGTTTTTTTGATAGAAAATTATTTGATTTTTGTTCCAAATTCGAAGCTGGAAAGGGATTTATACAAAAACTAATGATTCAAATCAACTTTAAAAGACATGATGCATCACAAATAGACAAATAAAAGCGTTCCAAAGAAAAGAGATAACATTGCGATATAGAGTGAAAGGCGATAATTATCAGTCCCATACCATCTCGATAACCTATTAAAGACGAATTAACAAATTAATGGAATAAAGTAAAATAAAATTAATTGTAATTACAGAGGAATGATTCATTAGCGCGGTAAAATTGTAAACTAAAGGCTTAGAATAAAACATAAAATAATATAAATTAATCGAAAAGAAAATTTAGGGAAAGTGATAACTCTTGGGAGAGTCACAGAGTAAAAACCAAATAATCCTTTTAAAATAGGTGAAAATCGCAAAAATCGGCTTTATCTCGGTTGCTAACCCAGGAGTCATTACTTACTTAACTTTATTTCAGCAATAGGTATTCGGTTCACCATTTTACCGCGCTAATTATTTTTATTTCATTGCTCTGTTAATACAGTTTATTTTATATATTTGTTACGCTATTAAATGTTCCATGATTTTCAAGTTGATTCTAATGTTTGTCACTGCCTAAGCCAGTTGCCGTTTTTAATATGCAATCATAAACTTTTAAGAATTTTAGCAGTATTTTGCAAGGATACGGAAATTAAATTCCTTCCCTTCCATCTGCCCATATAAAATTTGCGGTTTAGTTTGTGCGAAAATAATTAATATTCAATCTGTATCAGACTGCCCACCTGACTGTGAGGGGTGAACAGTCAAGTTCATTTTCTCGTTTTTTTTATCTACTACTTTAACCATTTTGACCTATATTTGACATGTTTTAATCGGAACTCTTCAGGATGTTGGCTTGTGTTTTGACGAGTCAGTTTTCAATAATATTCAAGGGTTACTTTACACACCCTTGAGTTAACATTCACACTTTATTGCAAAAACCTTGTTTCATTGAATTGTAACTTATTGCTTTATGTCTATTAACTAAAGTTTAGTAGATTAATTAACGAAAATTTTCATAAAGTTTCAATTTATCTGTATATATGATCGGTATTAATAATGTTTGGTTTTTCACTTACCTGAGCTGCGCCAACAGTTGAGCCATTTCCTCCATACCTTGGTCGGGTTCTTCAGTCGAATTTTGGTCACATTCTGGTCTTTGATGGGCGAACGTTTGTTGAAATCGCGAATTGTGCCCGCCTGAGCATTTGTCCTACATGCATAAAACGCCAGGTAAATGGGTGCTTATCTCAGATTAAGTCTATATAAAACTAGGTACTTATTATAGAATATTATATTAATATAGAATTTGATATATGAGTAGCATCAACAATAAAATAGCAGGAAAACGATAGCCATGATTGTATTTGGTGTTATACTTGTTTAGTTTGTAATAAGCGACAAACAAATCTTACTAAAATAACAGCGTTGAAATTTTAAATTAAAAAAATCCTAAGAATTTAAGGTGGTAATTACAAGAAAACATGATGAAACATTCATCATGACAACACCGCAAATGAGGGTAATATCGGGTAGCAAAATTATACTAAGGGGAAGTGGACTCATTAATACGGCAATTTCTCGTGTTTTTTGTTGATAATAAAAATGATAAAGTCACAAAATCAAAGAACCTTTTATGATTAGAATAAATCGATTAATACAGGCAGATTTGTACAGCGCCTAGGGTTTGTCGGTTTTTAAAAACCGGGTTTTTGGAGAAAATTATGAAATTTTAAACCCGGTTTTTTAGTAGAAAATATCGGTTTTCAATGTATGAATAACACGTCAAAAAAATTTGAAAATGACAAATGTAGCCAAATGTACCAGATTGATGAAAACACTGTTGCAAGCGGTTTGGTTCGTTGAATCATATCAGTCCGATATGATTTCAAGAAACGGTGTGTTTTGTCTATTGGATGAATTAATTTAGATTTTATATCAGTTTGTCTTCTGGTTTCTTTATGTACAAGTTCATAAATTCAGTGTTCAGTGCCATTGATCGATATGTGATATAGATGATATACAAAATGTAAGTAGGTAACATATTTTAATATTATAAAAACATAAATTTGTTTTTATATTTTTTATATCTTTGTAGTCCTAAAGGTCAGACGTGTGGAATTATTTCAAAAAAGTAGAAAAATAAAAAGCCCGTTGTATTTATTGCAATAAAATGGTTACTTGCAAAGGATCAAGCACAAGCTGTCTACATAATCATTTGAAAACAGTGCACGATAAAATAACCGAAAAAAAATCATCTGATGCCGTCCCGAGTTCACAAACAAGTAGGTACCCAGCCCTGTATTCTTAACTTTCATTGTACATATATATATTTCATTGTACATAGAAAAAAAGAAAAAAAATTTTTTTTACTATCTGTTATTTTAGAGAAACTGATGATGGTGGAAAACACCGAAACGTATTTTAATTGATAAATAGACAATAAATGACTGAATCCCAGGAATTGATTTTGATTCTTAACTTTGTGAAAGGGACTAGTTTAGAAGAAATTGTATCAAAGCTTGCTGCATTGGATGGACTATCTATCTATTAATTGCATAACAAATAGCTCGTCCATACGAGAATCGTTGCAACCACGAAATTATTGCTTTCCACAAAATAATTCTAGAGTTATGAATCTTATTTATAAGTTTTATGAAACTATAAATGAATTAAATTGTATGAAGAATGAAGGGCAAAAATTTCAAAAACGTGATAAAAGCGATATTCAAGAGCCAGACAATGTTTTATTGAAAAATGCTATGGAAGTGGCAATTAATAAATATTTAAAGGAACCGGAAGAAGTGACTTCTTCTACTCAAACTCTAAGAAAAGAGTTTCTGGCCCTGGAAGCCACAAATAAAACGATAAAAAATTTAGAACTATTATATCAGGCTCCAAAAACGATTAATCTTAGTACGGTTGCAAGTGAGAGGGTATTTTCTATTTCGGAGAATTTTGTGAATAAACTAAGGACAGGGCTAAATAGCAAATCGATAGACCTGTGTTTTCTGAAATCATATTTCATTAAACAAAAAAATAAATTCAATATTTAAATTTGTATTAAAATTGCCCGGAATAGAAAATACTCGGTCCTTTGCTTAATTGTCTTTAAAACTAAAATTGATTTTAATAAGTATGTATGCATAAACTTTATTTACTCTTGTCAATCGGCTTTGATTATAATTTACATTATATAATACACACATTTTCTAATTGTTTTTAAGTATCTATCTGTATCTAGTAACATTGTTTTTTAAAGAAATAATATGGTTATAATATAAATGTGAAAATATATTGTTTTTATTTATTCGAACCTTTTGCTGGATAACTCGTTTTACTATTATAAAAATATTTACATCCTTATAGATATGTGAAAATGATGCATAAACAACGAATAATTGTTCTTAAAGTTATTTAATCCTGGTAAACTAATATTTTTTTGTTCTACTAAATTGCATAAACAATTTTACTATCAATAAAATTGAACAGTTAATAATTTCAGCCAACAACTGCTTTTAATCACTCCAAATTTTCTGTCAAATTTTTTTGTTCAAATTACAGAATATTCGAGCAAAAAATTTTGGTTATTCGGTTAAAACAGGTTTTCTGAATATTTACTATTCGAAAACCGGTTTTCTAAAATGTCGATTTTTGTATAAACCCTAACTGCGCCTATGGATAGGGGCGAGGCGAGTTGATTTCAATCTATCCTTTCCACCAGTTTTTTATTGATCAATGGCCGATCGATAGAATTCAGTTGCTTCCAAACAAATCGAGATTTATGAATGACTATGAAATGATATCTTTGATGTTTACCAAACAATTCACACATTAACTTACCTGTTTCGGATGTGACGATGGAGGGGTAGCAGGCAGTTCCTCATTTTCTGGGCTTTGTAGAACGTGTCGTAACGTAACACCTGATTGGTTCGCGCTTCTGCTCAATCCCACATCGCTGCTACGTAACGCCTTCTTTTTGAGAACGTCTATTTGTAACCTGAAAAAAAAACAAATTGGAGAAAACTTGGATATAACTGTTCAATTAAAATAATTCAAATTTAATTTAATACGGCGGATTATCAGCAATTTTAAACTTGTTTTTCTACCTCAGCTCGTCGATAACACCCTGTAGTTCCTCGTTCTTGCCCTCCAACTGCTCAATAGTGGCATTGAGGCTTTTGACGTGTTTCCTCTCAGACCCATTTTCGAATTGGAGCCGATGATTGGTGCGTTCCAGGTCCTGAATGCTCACCTCCAGCTGCTCGTAGATCCGTAATCGGGAATCGTTCACCTCCTTTAAAGCGACCGTCTGTTTCGTTAGATACTAAAAGAAAATTATGGATTAGATAAAGAGTTTCGCCAATATTTGCCAATTTGTTACCTCTATTTCCAACTTCTGATCTTCTATGGTGCTCTGTTTCTCCTTCAAGTGGGTCTCGAGTTCCCTGTTGCGGTCCAAAAGCGTTTTGCCCAATTCTGCTGCCAAGTGCAGATCTGTAACAAATTTGCTGCTTAATATTCTGCTTCAGATTTTTTATGTGCTAGTTGCCTGAACAGCAACCGCATATCGAAAAATTTCAGGATTTTAAACTTTTTTCGAAAAATTTGGTGATTTTCAAACGTATTTAAAAGGTATTGCACATTCAAGTGCAATAGCAAGTAAGTGCTTTCGCTCCTGAGGACTGGAGGTTTTGTCAAGTTTCGCGTCTATTTTGGAGGCGTTCTTAGAGTTCTAAGGACTTTTCGTCTACAGTAGTGTTAGGTTTCATCCTTTATTGGCATTAATTTTTTTCTTACCTGGGTTTCAGTCAAAATGTGAAATAAAAATGTTCATATCGTTTATTTCATACTACGTTTCGGCGAGACAACAGCGCCATCATCAGATTTAAAATTAAAAAAAAAGTACAAATACCAATTTACAATTAAAATATGTTGTGCAAAAACTATAATTTATAAAGCGTTAAAACATTCATCAGTTCTTGAGGGAAATCCTTCCTTTTGGGAGAGCAAAACATTTGAAAAACTTACTTTGCTCTCCCAAATATTTTTTTTCCTTAAGAACTAATGGATGTCTTAATGCTTTGTAAATTATAGTTTTTGTACAACATATGTTAATTGTAAATTGGCTTTTGTACTTTGTTTTGGATTTTAAATCTGATGATGGCGCTGTTGTCTCGCTAAAACGTAATATGAAATAAACGATATTAACATTTTTATTTCACATTTTGACTGAAACTCAGGAAAGAAAAAAATATAATAACAATTATCTCACAACGCAGTCATTAAAATAAATTAAAATTGGCATTCAAATTGTAGATCTTGTCCTATTTTGTATATATCTAATAGAACTTCCCTTTGTAATCGATTGTGTACGAGCATATCAAAATGTCAACTACAAATTTCTACACAATAAATAATAGCATAAGTTTATGTGACGCAAAATGTACTCGCAAATTCCCACATTTGTAACGGTGGCACACTTTTCTTTCGAAAACTGCACAGTCATTTTGCAAATTTAGCTGAAAATTACGAAATAGCAAACGATAACTGAGGTGAGCATGATCGATGCCCAGACACATATAATTATGTACAACATTAAATTAATAGCCATTTATTTCTATGTGATTTTAAGGAAAAAGCCATGATTTTAATGTAGTTTCAGAAGCGCTTTTAGAAGCAAATGTTCATGTTGATTTTTCTGCAATTGAAAATTAATTAGTTTTCAATAGGCTCATTATTTGTCTGAAATATTTCCCGGCAGAGTAATTTCCAACAATGGGCATATACGTTGGTCGGCACGATCACCAGATCTTTCCCTTTTAGATTATTATTTATGGGGAACTATGAAAAACTTCATTTATAAATTTGTACCCACCGATATTAATGACCTGCGAAGGAGGATAATCACAACATTAGGAACCAAAATTAGAAGAAGGTACGTTTTAAGATCACTACAAAATTTAAGAAGACGCATAGATCTGTGCATGGAAGTGGAAGGTAAACCCTTCGAGCACCTCTTATAATGTTCTTAATTTACTGGTTTCTCAAAGTTTAGTTTCATCCTATGTACAACTAAATCCTATTCAAAGAGATACAGAAACTACCTAAAATCTATTGATTAAGCAAAAGAGTGTGTGTCATTCCAAAGCACTCTTTGCAAAAACGAAATTTTTGTTATTTTCACCAAACAGCAAGACTGAACCTTAACATGTGATACATTATCATAATCAGCAAAAAAGCTGATTTCAAACACGTAAAAGATAAATATGGCGCCCATTATAAAAACAAAGTTGATGATGGTTGTTAATAATCCACAAGTCGCATTTTAAATACAACATCGCCACGTTGTAGAAGAGAAAAAGTTGCAATGATGAAGTATTATTCATTTAAATTTCCGCGTCAAATAAGCTAAGGAAAAATTAAAAACTATTTCTTCGAATTTCGATTTTTTCCAGATATCTCCGGAAGTCGCAGCTTTTTTAAAAAATATTCAATTATCATTTTAGTAAGCTCTAGACTGCGCAACTTTGCCCCAATTTAACCAATATCTTATCTAGTATGGTTACCGAGATCCCCATGGGTGAGCTCCAAAAACTCCTACTTAGTAGAACTTTCGCTGAAAATCCTCAGGATTTTTCTATTTTGCATTCTGCTTCTCAGAAAAAGTTAAAGAATAATGTAAAGAGAGGAAAACAGCGTTTGTAACTACAGATATGAACAAATACAACATGTTTATAATCAGTATAAGAAAACCCACAACAAAACGCACGCTTTAGTTAGAAGACTAAAAACAGAACAATGGGAAATTTAGCGAATGCAGTAGAAAATATGGCCAACGATTAAGGAAAAACAAACGGAATTAAGAGAACTTATCGAACTAAAACGTATAGAAGAACATGGATAAACTACCCGAAATCATGTTATAATCAAGATGAAAAAGAAATACAAATACAATCACCATCAATAGCAACAAACGTAGTGGCGACAATTCAACAAATAGAAATTGAAGGAACGATACAAAAACTTAAGAACAGGAAAGCAGCAGGAAAAGACGGAATACATAATGAGCTTTTAAAGGATGGAGGATCAGCCTTATACAAAGAGTTATAAAACAACAAGAATGGAGATCAAGTATCTGATCTATCAAAATCTGAGCAACTACCGTAGAATTACTGAGTAAATTGGTAAAAAGAAACCAAAGTTTTTCTGATTTTTAATGCAACTCATAGTGCCACGTGCCAACAATAACATTATTTTGATGCAACCATCAATTAAAATATTTAAGTAAAACGTGCCTATTAATGCGAAAAATTTGGCAGTTAATGGAGTTATTTACAGTTGAGCATTTGTTACCGGAAGCAGTCAAAGAACGTCTGTGATTATTAATTAAACGGCCTGAGTGCAGATGTTAAAACTAATGTTCGTATCGTTTAATGCAACATTAACTTTAAAATGCGCTTAATTTATGTAGCCGTTTACGTAACGGCCTAAGCTGCCATTTCAGTGGAAAAAATGTCGATTACAGCAAAATCATTCATTATCCTGCTGCTTTTCTTATGCTAAATTCTAATCGATTAATTATGACGAGAAGACACTTTGAATGGTCAAAAAATTGAAAATTGAGTAGCAGTTTGCTTCTGTTCACTGTCTGTACGATTATTGCGAGCGACATTGAACTTTTACCCGGCAGCAACATTATATAAACTTAATTGCGTGGAAAACAGTGACGTTCAAAATGAAATAATTACAGTTTCAAAGGTTAATCATCTCTACCGTATCATTCATTGCAAACCTACATCATTTTGCCAATAATTATCGTGCTATCAAGCGATTGAACTTCCAGATGCGATTGATTCAGGCCCTTCCTTTAGATTTATTCCTGATTTCGATTGAACATTAGCTGACTGTAAACGCAAGCAACTGGTTTTAATTAGCGAACAAAAAAACATTCTAATATGGTAAATGAACTTTAACGGTTTGGGTACAATTACAAGTGGTTTGTGCTGCAGCGAGAGTTTATTTCCAAACCGGTCTATTCCCACACATAAACATTATAATCTCATTATCTACTTAATCACTCTTTATTGAATTATGATGTATAGACTGTATGAAACATAAACTACTTAAATATGGCGAGTTTGTCAAGTTAACTTGTTTTTCAAGCGGCCTCATAGAAATAAATCAATAATTTTAATATCAAACATCGCCAATATTGGAGCTCTCTGTATGGTCACAATGCTATGCATAAACGACAAACTAAAAAGTAATAAAACACAATAAATCTTCGCTAAGTGTAGAAAAACTAGTTGGAATTAAGTAAAACACCGTAATTAGTCAGAATAAATTTGAACAATTTAGCAGTTAAGTGCTTAAACTAATTGGTAAAATATGCCCACATACACTTATTTGCTTAACTAGTACATTTTTCAAACATAAAACGGCATCTTGCGTAACGTCTAAACGCCCGGTCTGATGCAACTAGTTCACATTCCATTTCGCATAAATAACTCATACATGCGGTATCTATTATGTGTTATGACACATAGGAAAAGACTAGAAGTTTTCCTGCTAAACCTAAAAATGGTATTTTTAGCGAGACGCATTTGGAGAATAATGATGTGACAATTTTTTGAACGTCCGTGGGATAAATGCAAGATTTCTAGTTTTATTTAAACAGTCTCTGGTTGTACGAGTATAAAAGTTCAGACGATGAAGGTTTCTTCCTGGCTTATAAGCTGCGGGCAACTGGAAGTGCTTTCAGACGTGTCGACAAAATGAGAGGCACAAATAAAAAATTTCTCAAACATTGCCTGCCGATGATGCCATAAAACAAACTATGCTTTAAAAAACTTAATTAAAAGTCAATTCTTAACTTGACTATGTTTTGAGACAGTAGCTGTGAAACTTCGGCCAGCATAAACAAGCACAAAATACATGCGAAGTTCTAAACAATTTGATACAAACTTCCTGAGGATGAGTCAAAATCGAAACATTTTCCACTCATTGTCCTACGAATATTATTCAACTTTTGCAAATTTTGAAAAACCAAATGCTAAAAAACCAACTTAAAAAAAATTGTAAAATTAACCTGAAGATAACTCAAAATCAAAACTTTTTAACACATAGAACACACTTTTCCCCACAAAAGGCATCAGAAAGTGAATCTCTAATGTGATTAATTTGTGAGAAAATTACTGCGATTGGCTTAGGTAACCACAAAATTCTATTGAAAATTAAAAAAAAATTTGAAAGTAGCCTGATGATGACTCAAAACGAAACTTTTTACACATGTAGGTGTCAGCTGGCCTATAAAATACACCGGAAAGTGTATAATCCAACTCGACTGCTTTGCGAGAAAAAACTGCCAATCTTAGACCTGCATAACCAATCATCAAATTGTATTGCAAATAAAAAAAATCTTGCAAATAACCTGATGATAACTCAAAATCGAAACTTCTTCCCATCCACAGAACGCACTTTGACTCCGCACTTGA